CACACAGCAGCACTTAGTGAATATTCACCAGCAGCTACTTTGATGTTTAAATAAAATTTAGAATAGGGGTTGGTTAAAATAATTAAAGATGCCACCGAAAAATCTGTTTGCTAGACATACAGAGCTTTTTCAGCTAAAAATAGCAACAAATTGTAAGTTTAAACAAGTATTTTTATAATTTTATTTACCTATTCCATATTATATGTTTCATGTTGCACGATTGTACCATAAAAAATTCCTAGTTTGTGAAGTCCTTCACTAACAATGGCAATAAACCTGATTCTGATTCTGATTATGATTCTATTATAACACAAGAAGCTTGAGAAAAACATATTTTTTTTTCTTCTATACTACTTAAAAAAATCTTGGCTTCTCAGAGGACCATGACTCCCAATTACAGGTTAAAATTTATGTGTTCTTATTATACAGACAGAATCAGACTGCTTCTACATATCTTAAAATTTTGTTTCTGTCATCATATTAGTAAAGAGGTTCATAAATCTTTTTTAAAACAGAATACGGAGAGAAGTAGGGAGAGCTGCAGATTTAAAGGTGAAACAGATTTACTGGGATATGCAATAAAATATATCTCCAAGTTTACCAGAAAGATAACAAAAAGAAATGCTATGCTATATTTAAAATGCAGCATAACCATATTATTTCTGGATGGAATTGAAATTGTACTTCTGGGGATGCATGATATATCAATTTTGCCATTGGAATCGGCTCTTATTAATTATTTTTTTTCATGCATTGGTGTTTTTTGGCCCTATATTTGCAATGCACTAAAAGGCATCTCTTTAAAATCTGTAAATATAAATATTGGTGTGTTGTGGCCTTGTGCTTTCAAAAATAGGAAAGCATTCAATAAACATGTTTGAGCTCATTTTTGGAAAAGTTAACATAATGATATTGTAACTGTAGGTCCATGAGCCACCACCCAACTGTCCCCACCAACTTTCATCACAAAGTTACGCCCAGCCTTGGAAGCCCAGCAGGAAAAAAAAAAGTTTCCTCCTTTTCAGAAACCCAAATCTGGTCACCACAAATTTTAAGCTGTAAAATAGGTTGTAGCAGTGCAGTTAAATGTTTGTTTTTTCATCCTCCTTTGCAGCAAATAACCTTAAAGACCTTGAAAAAATCCCTTTAACAATAGAGGGCTCTGAGAATAATTCAATCATCTCTGCAGCACAGATTTAATATATTAGATTACAGCAGATGGTTAGAAAAGGTGGATGTTAGGAGTTTATTATGTGATCAAAAGCTAACACAGCTCTTTGTGTCTGTATGATGGGTCTCTGCAGCTTATTTCAACCCTTTGGACTGCTCCAAACTGCTGACCACAGATCAGTACGACCAGATCCGCGTTTACTCGTCCTCTGACTGGTCAAAGCCTCAGCACATCATCCAGCATCCGCACAGACAGTTTCAGCACCTTACACCCATTAAGGTTTGTTGGTTGTTTTCATGGGGATGATAACAGGATATTATTTGTACATCTTTAACAATTATATCAAAAAATTTATGTTTTTATTTATCTAAAAAAGTTACGATTTTTCAGAACCATTGATGTTGTAAGATGGAGGCCATTTTTTTTTTTTTTTGGAGGGGGGGTGGAGTCTATCTTTGTCAACAAAATATTGCTTTAATCGTTCTGTAGGCTACATGGCATCCCCTTTATGACCTCATCGTTGCGGGGCGCTATCCTGATGACCGCATCTGTGCCGGAGACCAGAGGACCATTGACATCTTTGATGCTAACAGCGGGGAGCTGGTGTTTCAGATGTATGATTCCACCGCTGCAGGGATCAAATCTGTAAATGTTTTTCACTGAACTATAAGCAGATCAAAACAAACTCGAAATATTGCACCTATTAAAGTAAGGCTCTCTGTTTTTACAGGTCAACAAGTTCAGTCCTATGGGTGATGTCATCGGCTCTGGAATGGGTGAGCTGTTTAAGCCATTCATTGGTTCACTTAGTGGAGCTGAATCACATCAGGGAACTGTGAAAATTTTTATAATCTTTTAACTTGGGTCTGGACTTTGACTAGGCCATTCCAACTTTTATTATTTAATCTTAGGCTACATTCACACAGCAGCCTGAAGTGACCCAAATCCCATTGTTTTTTTGTCCATATGCGACCAGTATCTGAGCTTTTCATGGCAGCCTGAACAACACACATCTGATTTTTTTTTTTTTTATGAATGCGACCCAGGCCACTTGGCTATGTGGTCCTGAATCCAATACGGATCTAATCTTTTCAAATGCCAGGTCGCATTCATCCAACCTAAACTTCATTAATACTTAACAAAGAAAAACAACAACCATGGCGGACGATAATGCCAAGAGCAGTCTTTTTTTTTTTTAACCATCTTGAAAAGATTGAGTTTTTAAGGTTGGGAAAGATCACTAGATGCGCTCCACTGCTACCATCCATGTTAAAGCTGCAGTCTGTAACATCGAGACGAGAGCAGACTTCGACTGAAAATTTGAAAAAAAACAGGTTTCACGCCACTCCCCCACCCTCTCTGCTTCACTCATGCCGCACCTCCAAGCTCCACTGCTCTCACAGCATCTGCGCGGCTACAGCATGCGATTTGAAGCGTCCAAGCAGCGTACGCGGCATGGAGTGTGAACCGGTAAGAGCGATAACACTCACCTCCAAGCAGCTAGATATAAGATGCTGGTTATACCGAAGTTTGCCGTGTAAGCAGTTGTTGGCAGGGGCAGTAAGGGCAGTTTCTCGTTCGCTGGTGGCTGTCGCTCCGCCA